TTCCTTCCTTCCTTCCTTCCTTCCTTCCTTCCTTCCTTCCTTCCTTCCTTCCTGTTTTCCTTCCTTCTCAGGTGCTTCACGTAGAAACAGAACCAACACAGAGATCCCAAATCTATAGTGGGAGCCGGCCGACTTGAAAACCAGGAGAGATAATAGTACATTTCCAGTCCAAAAGCCGTCAGCAGAGACATAGGAGAGTTGATAGTTCAGATGAAGCTGAAAGCCAGTTTATTTGAAAATTACCTCTTGTTCAGGGAAACTAGTTTTTTGTTGTTGTTGTTGTTCTATTTAGGCCTTCAACTGATTGGATGAAGTACACTCAAATTATAGACAACAATCTTTTTACTCAAACTTCGCTGATTTAAATGTTAATATCTACTAAAAACATCTTCCATCTTGACACATAAAATTAACCACTATACTGTCTTTCTCTTCCTCCTACTGTTTTTGATAGTTACTGGATATATTTTGGGGAAAATTCCTTTATGCTTTGATTATATTTATAAGTTTCTTACTTTAGAGAGCCTAAAATTAATATTGTAAGGGTTAGGGGAAGGGTTGAACAATTCTTTGTTTGTGCCACAAGTATGCCATGAATAGTTTTCCATGTAATCCTGAGGATCTTTTTCATACATAAGAGATATAGGCAGCCACAACAGCAGCAAAGGTATTTTGTTGAGTCCTAGTGAGCCATCTGTCTTTAGGAGTACAGACTTAAGTAATTAAAATGTTCAAATAGTAATCTATCTTCCAAATAGTGATCTATCTTCCAAATAGTGACTTATCTTTCTTCACATGGGTCACTATCTAATGAGTCAGTATATTACACAGGGTATAGTCTTTCCACTGAGTAGAAAGAAGAGAGTGCAATACTTGTTTGAAACACACAATCAGTCACAGGGTAAGAAATTTTCCCCTGATATTTTTGTCAGTATGACTCAGGGACACTTTAAGGAGGAACCAACCCCCATACTCCTGCCCATAAGTGCCAATTAATTATCAAAACTTCCTACTTAGATCTGTTAAATCAAAAATAGAAGTGAAGAAGAACTGAGAAAATGTAGGATAAAGCATCACAGCTTTACGCTGCAAGACAGACAAAAGGTAGAAGCTCAAAGTGAATGATGGCCATCAGGCAGGAGAGAGAGGCAATTAGCAAGCCAAAGCAAGATATGAAAGAGCCCTGTTCATGGTAGCTATCACTTAGACTATCCTGCTCATAATACAAATTGTTGTAGCCACGCTATATAGACAGAATGGAAGTCCACCAAGCAATTGGTTTGAATATCAAAACGATGATGCCATATACACACCAAGAAGATATGCAAAAGCTGATTACTTACACAATGGAAAATGCCTCTGAAGGTGGTCACAAAATGGCTTGATAGAGCAGAAAAAGATGGCTGACTTTGGGGTTTTATGATGGTTAAAAGGTAGGGCAGGGGTTAGTGTTCCTATGTGCAGTCAAATGTCAAAAACTAGTCAAACTCTTTCTTACCACTTATTATTAAAAGATATTAAAGGTGTTTTCATGGGATTCTTGTTTCCAGCTAGGCAGAAGATTGGTAAAAATGATATTAGAAGTGTTTTTAAGTAGCTTTAGTTGTTATCTGGTACTAGATATTAGGATATTGTCTTGAGACTTGCTTCAAGCCTTTCTCATTACCCAGGTTTCAGTTTCTACATCTAAAACTGAGTGATGTGTTAGATTCCAAAGTTTTTCCAGCATTAAGATCTTAAAATCCTTTTCACAAACTGTGACAAAGACAAATAATGTGTGTTCACCACAGCTTCATTTTTGTCTTAGTCACACAAGAGGACTAGATTAAAATTGCCCCTAGCATCTAGATAAGGCAATGTAACTCATTTCTGGCCAATGGAATGTGTTGAAAGTGATGTGTATCCCTAAACTTCTTCATGTAATCTTCTGTCCACATCCTTTTTTTTTCCTATCTGCATGGTTGGAAGCCGAGGTGATGAAGTTACATAATGGAAGAAATCCCTATCCTCTGTTCACAGCTGGGAGTAGGGCCATCTAAAAGTGCTTTCTGATAATGTATATTCATATCAGACTTAGGGCAAGTGAGAGTTCCATATAATGATAAGGCACTGCAATTTTCAGATAGCTTTTACTCCTGTTAATGGGCTTTATCTTGGCTAATACAAAAACATTAAGTAATATCCACTGTCATAAATACTGATAGTAATGAGAGGAGTTAGCTAGTTGCTTTAGGTAGACAGCAAGGGAAGGGTCTCTCGAGATCTTCTGACCCATTGGTCAGTGCCTCATTCCCGCATAACATAAAAAGCAGCCTGGGGAAAAAATCAAGCTGCTGGCACTGATAAAGGAACTAGCACAGGGGGTTGTGCCTAGACACATGCCCACAGCTGCACAGATAGGAGAACCTCCAGCACACTCAGATAAAAACTTGCACAAACCTCCAGCTTACTCAAATAAGGGAACAAGAGCCAACATAAAAACTCCTTTTTCTTTTGCATAATCAGCGGGCTTCCAGGAAAAAGTTTCTTCTTCTTTTGTGGGCATAAACACGGTGGGCTCCAGAGGGTTCAAGTGAGCAATTTCCTTTCCTTTTTGGACTGTGAGACCAGCCTCTATGAATCATCTCTTCAGCTGCTGATTGGTTCTGGGCCAAGGTCCTGAGCCAAGCTTTCACTTCAGCTCCTGATATATCCTGTGCCAAGTTGAGTAGCTCCTATGAATCATCACTTCAGCTCCTGATTGGTCCCGGGCCAAGCTGAATCACACTTTCTTCAAGACAGCCCACAGATTAAGCACGTTCTTCTGATTCCCAGGCGGTAAAAACCCTGGATCCCAGCATCATAGGGGGCAACCCATTTGAGCCCCAACTCTCCACTGGTGAAGAGCTTTCTTCTTTCACTTATTAAACTTTTACTCCAACATTACCCTTGTGTCTGCACTCCTTAATCACCTTGGATATGAGACAAAGTACTCCAGGCATTATCTCAGACAATGAGAGACTGTTACATCTCAGTGCCTTGCTGAAATGACAACAGTTAGAAACAGAACAAATGCTGTATAATTGTCAGGGAACTTAAGTTGGTGTAATCTTTAGGTATTTTAGATCCAACTAAGCTTTAGAAAAAAAATCAAATGTATGGTAATGCCAAAAATAGCAAACAGCATCCGGTTATTTTACTTAAAACTTGGTTTCTACACTGTAAGTTTTATAAATTCAAATAATTATATTGTGAATTTGTATCAAAATAGAATAATTTGTATTTTAAAACTAGCTGTCCTTGTGTGAAATTAAAATAGGCTATATTAAAATATAAAGTACAGCCCAAGAATGTTTTTTACGTGTACATGATATTCAAATATATCATAAAGTAAAAATTGAAAGGTATGCCAAATTTTCTACAACATTTTCTCTTAAAAGGTATTTTTACACACAGAAATTGGAATTCTTATTCCCAGTAATGGAATATATTAGTATATATTTGTCATTCTCATTTTTCTTTGTTTACATTTAAAATTTTATAAAATTGATGAATATTAATATTAAATAAGCTATACAAAATAACTTTGAAGTACCATTTTATAATCTCTATAAATCTTCATATACCAAGAAATAGAAATAATTTAGAAATAAAATTTACTAGTATTTGTTTTACAAAATAGTATTAAAATCACAAAATAAACATTGAAGTTCAACTAAGTCTTAACATTTGCTAATGGGAAAATAGGGGTTTGTTTCACTTCTTATTTTCATTTATGTTGGAAAATTTTCTTATGAAAATGTTTCTTTAAAAAATGGTTATTTTTGACTACCACCCTGTGCCTAACACTATGTTGAATCTTCTGACATATACCAAAGTGGCCCTTGAGCAGGATTACAAAATGACATACGGAATGCCCAGTTTAAATTTGGTTTCAGAAAAAATACAATAAGTTTTAAAATATAAGCGTGACACAAATTTTACCTTTATTTATTATTATATTTGGTATATACTTAGACTGAAAAGTAACTTCTTTATCTGAAATTCCAATTTTACTGGGTGCTTTATGTTTCTATTTGCTAAACTTTTCTTGAGGTGACTGCTAGACAGTGTCTGGATAGCGTTGGCCAACCCATCTTCTCTCACCTCTTCTTGCTTGTAGTTTTCAGAATAACTGTATAATGTGTTAAAAATGCAATACCCTGAGAGTGAGAAATGGCCCGAAGAACACAAACCTTGTCCACATCTCTTACACAGCATGTAATCTTTTGAGACAGTGAGACCAAATTGAGACAGCCCAGGCTCTGTTTGTCTCTCCACTAGAAATATAATATTCTTCAACACTTTAGTCCAGATCAACATGTAAATCCTAGTGTATATAATGCAGGACAGGCTACCTTTCAGAATCCTTTAGCTGTGGTACAACTGAGGCATGTGCAGTCAAGACTCCATCCATGACAAAGTTTTCCTGAGCCTTGGGTGAGTGACTAACAATGAATCCTAGACTTCTATTGTCCCTTGTTGCCTGTCTGTACATAATAAATACACTTCACATGACTTGTTCCAGATGAGTGTGTTCTTTCTCACCTGTATCAGGAAAGTTGCAAAACTGCAGTCCAAGATGCAATGAACAGAAGTGTTTGGACTTCTATTCCTGGTGGTTGCATAGTGATAATCTTTGCTGTCATCTATATAGTGGGAGTCCTCCCTTGAGATATGTAATCATTGAACGGGTTTCTTATAGACAAAGTTTACACAATAAATGACTTGGGAGCAGTAAACATACATTTTACTCAGAGCTAAAGTAAATCATTCATAAGATACATCTCTTAGAGTTATGGCCATATAAGCTTAGACATAAAAACTATTAGAGCTGGACTCTTCCTAAATACAGGTTGTGTAGACACTAAGGAGTATATTGGAGAACTGCTAATAGGGGTGAGTTATGCATCATTGCTTTGTGTCACAGGACTGACATATTACAAATGAGATCTCTGGACATCAAGAGGAAGCTTGAGGTTAAGGTTGTGTCTCATGTACACACTCATAGGTTGTTTTGCTGAAAATAATCAATAGCTGAACACTGAAGTAAAAATAATTCATTAGCTTATGCTCTCCAAGATAAACAAATACCAGCCAAGAGTTTTACCATAATGCTGGCAAAATTCACCCATTTCCTCATTCCATACAGGTTCTCCTTGCTTTCAAACTATCTGCTACTCTGATTTACCTTTTTCACACTCTAGCAATTTTTCTCTGTAAATAGATTCCCATCACTTAACTTTGTTGAGTTATTTTACCTTTCTATGCCTTGAATTCCTAACCTGTAAAATGAAAATGAAAATAAAACATGCATTATAGGATTATTAGATATGAGAATTAAATAGGACAATGTAAGTGCCTAATACAGTGCCTGTTAATGGCGAATAAATGTTTATTATTATTTGACAAAGAATAAAAAGAAACACTTTCATCATAAGTAGGATGATGATATGTTCCAAAATGCATAAACTTTAAGAACCTCTGAATTTGTTTCCATGTTTCCAGAAGATTTAGGAATATTTATAGAAGTACTTATAAAGTAGTACTTTAAGGCAATTAGTACTTAAAGAAGTACTTTAAGGCAATTAAAATAAATCTTCTTTAATGGATTTTAAAAAGTAGTTTGTCAATACCATCCTGAGGCAGAAAAATATTATCTACATGTTATACACATACACACACACACACACACACACACACACAACATAGAGGAAGATACAAATAAAGCTTATAGCTTTAAGTTGAAAATCACAGCCATAAATCAGACATGAACACAAAAATACAAAATTGACTAATTTATGTGTTTTAAACTTACCCTCAGTTTTTTAACCACTTTTATACTTTAGCTAGGATTGTGTTTCTGGAAGATGAGATAAATCGACATTACTTTCTTGATACAGTGTTAAAGCATTGTCACCATTATTTGTGAATGAGAATTTTAAGATTTTCTTTTCCCTATGTGTAATCCTATTGGAAGTTGTGGACTAAATTTTGGGTGAAGTGTATACAAGACACCAAGTGGTTATCTGGATATCTCTAAAGTATATCTGAGTGCACAAAATACCCAGTCTGTTTCCATTAGTGTTTTCAACCAGAGGTAATTACTTTTGTTCCTGATATCTTTGAGAGACCCTGAAGGGGCCTTTATAGCAATATCCACTCCTGGTACCTATTTTCTGCATCAGGTTATTCTTGCATTGCTATAAAGAAATACCCAAGACTGGGTAATTTATAAAGAAACAAGGTTTAATTGGCTCACGGTTCAGCAAGCATTACAGAAAGCATTGTGTTGGCATCTGCTTGGAATCCAAAGAGGCCTCAGAGTGCTTAAACTCAAGGCATAAGGTAAAAGGGGGAATAGGCATGTCACATGGTGATAGCAAGAGCAAGAGAAACAAAGAGTTGGGGGAGGAGGTGTCACACACTTTTATTTTTTATTTTATTTTTTTCCCATTTATTTATTTTATTGCATTTTAGGTTTTGGGGTACATGTGAAGAACATGCAAAATTGTTGCATACGAACACACGTGGCAGTGTGATTCGCTGTCTTCCTCCCCATCACCTACATCTGGCATTTCTCCCCTTGCTATCTCTCCCCAGCTTCCCACCCCCCACCGTCCCTCCCCTATTTCCCCCCAACTGACCCCAGTGTGTAGTGCTCCCCTCCCTGTGTCCATGTGTTCTCATTGTTCAACACCCGCCTATGAGTGAGAACATGCGGTGTTTGATCTTCTGCTCTTCTGTCAGTTTGCTGAGAATGATGGTTTCCAGGTTCATCCATGTCCCTACAAAAGACCCAAACTCATCGTTTTTGAGTCACACACTTTTAAACTACTGGTTCTAGGCTGGGTTTGATGGCTTATGATTGTAATCCCAGCATTTTGGGAGGCTGAGCCAAGGCAGGCAGATCACTTGATGCCAGGAGTTTGAAACTAGCTTGGCCAACATGGCAAAACACCATCTCTACTGAAAATACAAAAAGTAGCAAGGCATGGTGGTGCATGTCTGTAATCCCAGCTCCTTGCAAGGCTGAGGCATGAGAATCACTTAAACTTGGGAGGCAGAGGTTGCAGTGAGCTCAGATTGTGCCACTGCACTCCAGCCTGGGTGACAGAGTGAGACTCTGTCTCAGAAAAATAGAAAATTTAAAAAAAATTTAAATCCTGCCAGGCACAGTGACTCACACCTGTAATTTTAGCACATTGGGAGGCCAAGGTGGGTGGATCACCTGAAGTCAGAAGAAGTTCGAGACAAGCTTGGCCAACATGGTGAAACCCCATTGTATTTTTAGTCTCCACTAAAAACACAAATTGTATTTTTAGTCTCCACTAAAAATACAAAAAAATTAGCTAGGCATGATGGTGGTTACCTGTAATCCCAGCTACTTGGGAGGCTGAGGCAGGAGAATCCCCTCAATCCAGGAGGTATAGGATTGCAGTGAGCTGAGACTGTGCCACTGCACTCCAACCTGGGCAATGAGAGTGAGCCTCCATCTCAAAAAAAAAAAAAAAGAAAGAAAGAAAAGAAAAGAAAATTTGAAAAATGACTAGATCTCACGTGAACTCTCAGAGTGAGAGCTCACTGTCATCATCACCAAGGGGATGGCCCAAACACCTCCTACAAAAGCCTACTAGCAAAATTGGGGACAAGATTTCTACAAGGTACTTGTGTGGGGACAAATATTCAAAGTGTACCAGGGAGTAATTCCCTACTTCTAAAGTACAAAGAAGACTTCCATCCACAAACATTTTCACTTGAATAGAAGTGCCAATAAATGTTCTGTTCAAACAGAAAAAAAAAAAAAAAAAACAGGAAGAAATCCAATAATAGGAAGTGACTCTCTGTTATGCTACAACAGACAAATGTCCAGAGCACTGGATTAGGAGTTGTGCTTTAGCATCATAAATCCCTATTTCCCAGCCAAAAAGACACAAAGGGTCAAAAATGCCACATTTATACCTGGGTAATAACAGTGAGGTGCAAGGCTTGGTCATGGCTCCATTAGAGCTAAAGCACAAGAAAACTGTCAAATAAAAATAATTTCCAGCATAGGGAATAAGCTTATTCAGGAGAAAGTCTATTGCAACAGGAAGAACACTCCAATCTTGAAAATCTGCAAGTGTCTCAAAATGTAATAGAAAAATATTTTCTTTTATCAGGTAAGGAGAAAGAATCAAAGATTTCCGAAACTTTTAAAAAGACATTGAGCAAGTAAGGGGAAATAACCAATGGAATCTGACAAGAAAATTGTCTCTCTGTGTTAAGTGATTGCCCGAAAAAACCCTGAGAAATGTGTACATTCTAGTTTTTGGTGCTTGCCCAGACTTGGGGCAAGTAAAGTTAAGGGGCCTGAAGGAAGGTGACAAGCTTGACTCAATCTGGATCAAAGACAAAGTAGAGGGTAAGAAATGAGAAACCGTGAATGTTTGGTTAGATCAATATCATCACACAGCTCAAGAACACATGTTTTCCTGATTATTAGTAATGTTGAGCACCCTTTCATGTTCCTGTTGCTCATTTGTATCTTCTTCCATGATATTTATTCAAGTTGTTTGCCCATTCAAAAAATCAGGTTATTTGTTTGACCTATCAACTCACATCTGTTACAATGGCTATTATAAATAGACAAATAAAACCCAACAGATAACAATTGTTGGTGAGGATGTAGAGAAAAGGGAACCCCTTCACACTATTGGCAGGAATCTATAAATTGGTGCAGCCACTATGAAAGATATTGCAGAGATTCCTAGAAATGTAAGAAATATAGTTAACATTTGATCCAGCTATCTCATTTCTGGGTATATATTCAAAATAACTGAGGTCAGGATTTCAAAGGTGTAGCTCTACTTCGATGTTCTTGAGGCATTATTCATGAGGTTGGATCATAATCCCTGAAGACAAAATCCCAAACACCCTAATGTTAAATGTTGAAATCTCAAAAGATTAAAATTCCCAATATCTAAATCCTGAAAGTCTAAAATGCCTAATGTCTAGATTTCTGAAAATCAGAATTACAGGATATCAGCATCATGTTAAACAGAAATATTACCTTGTTATTTCCTTTATTTGGAAATTAAGTATGGTTTAAAGACATGCCATGGTGGACTTAATTTTAGGTATCACGTTATCTAGATTAAGAAATACCTAAAAACCTGGTAAAAAATTATTTTGGGTGTATCTATTAGGGTGTTTCCTGAGGAGATTAGTGAGTCTGAGTGGAATAATTGGGGAAGACTTGCCCTCAATGGGCATCATCCAGATAGCTGGGAGCCCAAAAAGAACAATTATAGAAGGCAAATGGGTCTCTCTCTGAGAGCTGGGATAGATTTCTTTTTGCTGTATTTGACATCAGAACTGCAGGCTCACTGACCTTTGCATTCCAAGACTTAAACCATTAGTTTCTGGGATTCTGAGGCTTTCAGCATAGGATTCAGTGTTACACCATTGGCTTCCCTTGTTCTCAATGTAAAAATGTTGAAATTTCTTTAATAAATAAAGATACATC